TGCAGGTGGTAACTAAGTCTAGTGTTTGTCCTTGTGAATAGTCACTATTTGATTAGTTGCTCATTGCTCATGGTTGCTAGTCCTTTAGCAATGAATAAAGTATAAGCTCCTAACAGCTCAGCTGAGCAGATTTAAATACTTTAAACAGGTATAGTAGCATCCACAACATTTGATATTCCAGACAGTTGGACTTGCATAGATTCTCCCTTGGATTGCTGGGCTTGATAGATACTATTAAGCATCTTAATAGTCTTGGAGTCTTTTAATCACAAATAGAAGTTAGAAACCATGTCAGTACCAGGATTTACACTCTGGTGTACTTGGCCTGCAAGCGATTCAATCAATATGCTTTTTCTGAGTTGCTGGTCTGAAGTTGTTTGTATGCAGTGGTTTAGGTGAAGGCGAATGTGCTATCAGCTCCTACCTGTTTTGACTTTGTTGATGGGTAATTTGTATTCCGTATTTGTGTGACCATTGCACTAGAGTCTGGAAGCCACTGTAGTGAGCTGTTTGCAGGCTAAGACCTGTACTTCAGTGAAAGGCAAGGTAGCAGGTCAAGCCAATCCAATCCATAAGAACAGGGCAGAGTCAGCTATGACCTGTACAGTCAGTTTGCAGTAATCTTGGCAGTGATGCATACTTCCCTCATGGGTAAGATTTTTAGGCTGAATGAAATGCCATAACTGAAAGGCACACATTTCCCTAGGATTACCACAGGGCTTAATTGGATGAGCTAATAAAAAGACTTGCAGTTTAAATCTACCCTGCCTATTATCCCATGACAGAGTAATGAATCAGGATGTTCTGATTATTTAGGCTAAGTAGGACTTCTCAGTTCTTTTCCTGATGAACTTCATTACAAGTTCTCCATTTCCTACTCCAGGATCTATGCTGTCATTAGTCATAGAATCATAGAATCATTAAGGTTGGAAGAGACCTCCAAGATCATCGAGTCCAACCGTCAACCCAACACCACCATGCCCACTAAACCATGTCCCTAAGCGCCTCATCTACCTGTCTTTTAAATACTTCCAGGGATGGTGACTCAACCACTTCCCTGGGCAGCCTGTTCCAATGTTTAACCACTCTTTCAGTCAAGAAATTTTTCCTCATGTCCAATCTAAACCTCCCCTGGCGCAACTTGAGGCCATTTCCTCTCGTCCTTTCGCCAGTTACTTGGGAGAAGAGACCAACACCCACCTCGCTACAGCCTCCTTTCAGGTAGTTGTAGAGAGCGATGAGGTCTCCCCTCAGCCTCCTTTTCTCCAGGCTAAACAACCCCAGCTCCCTCAGCCACTCCTCATAAGACTTGTTCTCCAGACCCCTCACCAGCCTCGTTGCCCTTCTCTGGACACGCTCCAACATCTCAACGTCCTTCTTGTAGTGAGGGGCCCAAATCTGAACACAGTATTCGAGGTGCGGCCTCACCAGTGCCGAGTACAGGGGGACGATCACTTCCCTACTCCTGCTGGCCACACTATTTCTGAATAGTCATTTCATCATCTACCATGCCCTCTCAGCCCTAAGGAGGTTTGTGATTTAAAGAATGCTAGTCTTTTCTGGCAGTGTTTGTACCAGTGTTTGAGAGGTGAACAGTCTCTCACATGGCCATTATCCAGCTCTTTCGACTCTCTGAACGTCACCTTCCACCTCTGCCTCTGCCCTCCCCAGTGCTGCTCTCAGACTCCATCTAGGCAGTGTTCGTAATGAACAAGTCCGGTCTGTTTTTAGGGCATTCTGTCTTCCTGTGCACTTCTTTATCCACTCGAAGCAGGGAGAATGTTTGGCTTCCAGCTAACTGATATGTTACTATTAAATATAAAATTGTCCATCTGCAAAAAAATGCTTTCAGAAAGATAGTCTATGAAACCATTCCTTTAGAGCTTCCAAACCATAAAGGGAAAAACTGATCTGTAAAGTTCACTTTTATGCTATTTAAATGAAAATGGCTATGAGTGATGAATAAGAACTCATCCTTTACATTTTCTCCTCTGGCTTTCCACCCAAAAAGGAACTAAAAAACCCTCTCCATTTTCAGTTGCAACCTGTCTTCTTTTGCTTAGTAATGGTGGAGTAAACAGCTGCACTGAGCTGTGCTCTTTGTCTACAGACACCACATTGAAAAGATGATGAGTAGGAGAAAACATTCAATACATGTAGGGTTGCTTTTATGTAATGAAAGGCGTATTGACAGTCACTGAGATTCCATTTAGACCTTTCATGTATGTGATGTGTGTTACTGCTGATAGACAGGTCCTCACTCATAGCTGAATGATTTGTTCAAAGATCAAAACAGTTGATTTTGTCAAAGACAGGTTACTGGTAGAGTTCTGTAAGGACATATATGTTCTGTTCAATATATAAAGTAGTGATCTAAGAAAACAAAATAAGGATGCTTAGCAGGTAAGACCAATTGCTGATAATACTAGGGCTAGGTAATACTAGCATGCTGGCTACAAAGAGTTGCACCAGGAACCTCCTGTTACGAAGTGACAGATCAAGTACTTGGCAAATGAGAATCAGTGTACATTGTGAAATTGTTGCCCAGATACTCATTAACAATGTTTTGGGGGGCAAAAAGTTTATTGGGATCTTGATATAGGGTAACACTTAAACAAGGAATCAAGTCTCCCGAGCAGGATATCTGGTTGCTGTCTGGATGGTTATGGAAGTCTGTGTTCCAAGGACCCTTGCTAATGGTGTCTTTGGCTGCATCAGATGAGACTCGCTGAACTGATGTTTAGCTCAGTTTTAACACTGCATCTAGGCCATGGTCCTGTATGACTACTACAACATGATCCATTGCCGCTGATTATCTTGATTTATGTATAGAACATCTCCTGTCTTAACTATGTACAAAAACACTGTCCTGTGTTACTATTTCTGCACCTGCAGGAACAATTTCTACAGTGTATTTATAATTCTGTGTACAACGTGGTCAACTCTGGAGCAGGAACAGCCTGGGCAGCCTCTAGAAGGGGCCAGATTTTCCATGCAGGTTGTTAACTGACTCATTAGAACACATGAATTGATGTGTGCAAAGTGGGAGCTGCCTGTGGGACTCTTCAAGATAGTCCAAAATTCCCACCTGGAGTGCTTCTACAGCGAATAGTCAAATACTTAACTGCAAAGGCACCCTGGCTTCAGTCAATCGCCGTATTTCAAGTTGGTCCATTATCACATCTGTGCAGGTGGCTAGCTGGGGAGTAGCTAGACCACCCGGGGAATTAATAGCTAAGTGCGGTGGGTGTTGCACATGGGCACAGCTCTGCTACCCAACTGCACTGCAGTTATGCCCATAGGACAAGTTTGAATTTCATGCTTGTGACTTTAAGTTCTATAGTTCTTGCCAGAAAGTCATGCATATGGGAGAAAACAATTCTAGTTTGCATTCCTTACAAACTCAGAAAATTACGTGACTTTAGTTTTAAGGTGATGTGAGCACTGAGAGTATGAGGTGCTGAGACTGGGAGTGCCAGAAAAGAAAACACTACAAGCCAGGAGCAAACCCTAGAAGAGAGGAGACATGTTAGGGGTGCCTGGCCCTGCAAAAGGCTGCCACCTGGTTCAGACCAGTGACATTTGGTGCTAGTGGCCCAACTGGGAAACTGACCTTCTCTTCCTACCCCTCAAGCTCTGGCCTAAGGCATTTGTCAGTTTGTTTGCTATTTTAAAGGCTCATCAGGGATACAAGGTCTAACTTGAGGTTAGAGCCATCTAAGAGTGCTGTAGGAGGCAGGAGACATCAGTGTGGTAGGGAATATTGTGGCGATTTCTTCTAGTAAAACAGGGAAGGTTGTCAATATGGGCTCCATATGCAGACTTATTTGAGAAGATAAAGTAGCTTGGTTACAATCTAATAAAGTAGAAGCAAGCTGAATAGCAGGGGAGTTTTCTGTTGTACTAGACAAGCACAGAACATGATGCACCAGCTGGAAATTGAAGCACGACAAATTCAAATTATAGGTGTATAAGGTGTACACTTTTAACAATGGAAATAATCAACCTCTGGAACAATGTACAAAAGAGATATATATACAAACAAAGATACTGTTTTAGTTGAAAATCTTTATATCAAGATTGGAGACCTTTCTAAAAGGCATATTCCATTTTGACTACAAGTTGTTGAGCTTGGTACAGGAATTATTTGGTTTCATTTTGTGGTTTGTTCTGTGTTGGATCTTAGGCAGTGTTTTTATACATGTGTCTCGACATTAAATTTATGAATACTTGATGTTAGACCGATCATGGTCCTAGCTGTGTCATGTTCATAGAGATGTTAAAAGAAGTATGCTTATTTGGGTCACTCCCGATAGTCTTAAGTTCTGTGCTCTTCTGCCTTTCAGCTGACGGTATCTGACCAGATGCCACAGGTTGGTGTAAGAGGGAGATTTTGCTGTATGGATTCTAGTGATGCAGAATTAGTTCTTTCAAATACGCACTTCAGTCTTTTGGAAAGATATCTTTTTTTGAAAATACTTTAATTTTTAATGTCTGTGTAGGAAATTCTTGTAGTCTAGTCTGTAATGAATTAATTCTCTCAAAAAAATTTTTTGGGGGGGAATGTCGTTTTCTCTGATTCTCTATCTCAATCCTCTGCACGGTGCATCTCAATCTTCAGGGTGAGGGAAGTTTATAACCAATAGTACCTGCAGGACTAAAGAGTCCCCTTCCTTCTCAACACTTCTCCTCCCGGAAGAATATTGATTCTGTTTGTTGTTTAAGACAGATTGTTCTGTCAAGTTCTATTCTTAGAATAATACCAAAGTTAAATTTTACACCACACCACCCCCCTCCAATATTTTAAATAATGCTTGTACTTATTTTTATGTATTAATGCATCATTTTTCCTGAACACAAAACTGGCTAAATCGAACCATTTATTCTAACATTTTTCTTTTTCTTTGAAGGTGTGTGAAAGAACATATACATAACGAGATGTAAAATATTTCTTTTTATAGAATATGAAAGGTACTAAATATATGTTTCTGTTTTTGCAGGCTAAAGCCTATCTAAAGATAGCTATGGAAATAGTGAGACGACTGCCAGTACCTCCTGCTTGAAGTGTTTGTCGCTGAATCTTGCCAAAAAAGCAATCTTTTGGTGTGACCAATGCAGAAGAGTCCTGCTACCTAATTATGTGGATACCATATTTTAGTTCTAAGAACTTTTTTTGAGTTAATTTACCAGAGGTGAAATAATGATTGTGATGTTTACTGTTTTTCAAACCGTTGTTTGGCCATGTCCAAATGGATTGAAGTATGCAACAGATGATTGACAATATTTAACTGCTAGATTGTAACATCATCAAGTGAGAAGGGATGAAGTACATTTTTTACGTGTCCTGTTTTAAGGTCAAGAATGAAAAACAGCTGCTCCAGCCAAGCAGAATGATGAGAGGGGTGTGAAGGCATAAGTTCTCCTTAAAAAATGACATTTGCCATACTCTAATTTCTGTCAATTTTGGTTCAACTTTTTACTTGGTTAACTACCAAGCTGACCATAAGTTTTGCAAAATTTTAAGAACCAAATTCAGTTATGTAACTGCAATACTTTTGTGTGTTCATCTTAAAAGAAACTTAAAAAAAAATCCACGTATACTCTGAAGAGTTCTTGTGATGGATCGTGAGCAAATTCATTCATTATTGGATAATGTTCGATCATGAGGCAATTCACAGTTTAGTGGAGAATGGATTACATGACCCTGAGGCTAATTTCTTGACTGCTTTGCGTTATAATGGACCCAGACAGAAGACTAGGTAGCCAAGGTCTTCACTGAAAACCAGATGATGCCTGAGCTCAGTTTGCCAGGGGATGCAAATGATCAAGTTAAATTAAATTTATGATTACAGTGCAGCAACTTGGAATTTGAATATAAAGATCTATTTTTGAAGTAAAGAAAAACTTGGTCTTCAAACTGCGTGGCCTTCTGGTTTGTTTTTTCATTGCCTTATATTTCTGCGATCTTTATCTTTGTGTTGGTGTGTGGAAGTGGAAGAATGTGCCTTCAGGGAATGAGTTTCCATTTACAAGTAGATGTCTGAGTTGACATTTAGGCTTTTTCATTTACACAATCAAATATGGGTATCTTAAACATACATCTTAACCATACCATACTGGGAATTTAACCATACCAGGGAGTTCTGCTGTTGACCTCTGTGGGACCAAGATTTTCCCTGTAGTCCAAATAATTATTCATAATTTTGGAGGTAGAGGTTTTTTCTTATTGTAGTGATACAACATAAAAAGTTGTTATACATTCACATTAAGAATAGTTAAGTAATATGTGCCCAGAATTTACATGGGAAGGCTAGACACAAATTATGGGTTGAATTTCAAGCTTAGGTAATTTTGTAAACATGTACATTATATAGTCCAAAACTGTTGATTTTTTGCTTCAAGTCAATCTCTGAGCCTCCTCGCCCGCACCCTCCCCCATGAGATCTCAGATCAGTGTTCAGCTTTTTCAGCAGCATATTATCCCAGGCCTGAGGAATTGACACAAACAGTCACTTCCTTTCAGTTGTCCAATATATTTACAAAAATTAAAGCTGGCTTAGTGTTCTGCCCTTTCATATTTTATTGATAACTTATTGGGTTTTTTTAATTTAGTTTTATCTCTACACATATTATTTATTCACTTCTGCTTTACATATTGTAATCATTGATATGTATGTCTATAAGTAATCCTGTGGTTGTTTTGGCATAGTATAATCATAGATCTCAGTGGAAAAACTGGGATTTCTGACTGGTTTTTAGCAAAAGACTGTGATACTTTCTGAACTTTGGTATTTATTATTTTTGTTCTGTTAAAAAGAATGTCTCTGACACCCAGTTCATGTTGAGACGGGGTGAACAATCAGTATACAGATACAAGGTTCTTTGTTTTCCTTTTCTTTGCTTTCTTATTATTTCTTGGGTTAGTTGAGGGATGAAATTTGCTTTCAAATGTCCTTTTATTTTTACTCCTTTTTGGTGTTTTTTTTTTCCTTTTAATTAAGTACCGCGGTTTTGCTCTGTTGAATCTCTCACATGCAGAACTATTTTGAATGCCTTTATCAAGAAACTGGTTATAATGATTAAATGTAGTTTCTAAGCCAATCTGAAAATTCATATTTAATTAACATTTCTGTGGAAGGATTGCACAATGTAGTAGGTGAAACGCAATTTATTAATTAAAAATTGTCAGTCATTTAAAATATATGTATATATAATTGTACAGGGTAGGTAGGACATTTCTGCATTTAAGGATAGCAATGGTCAAACCAACTTTAAAATAAGAACGTTCATTTTCTTTCCTCATTCTCATGAGTGAAAAAGTACCTGTTTCCCAGCCCTGCTCCTGCAAAGGAACTGAAGGGCATTGACACAGTGTTATTGCTACTTAATGTTATAGAAACACATACTCTTTTTTTTTTATTGTACAGTACACTGTTAACTAGAATTCATTAACATGTATTTAACATACTCGATTTGAAATTGTAGTTCATAAAATCACAGATATAAGTATTGGATTGAGGGTGGTGGTGGTTGGATCAGTTGGAGGTTGAGCAAAAGACAGTGGCATTTAACCATAGTTTATAAATATAGATTATAGACTTGACACAGTGTTGTTTGCTCTTTTCAACTCCAATATTTTACTTTCATCTCTGTGATATTTCCTAGTGTACTAGTATGTTTTTTCTAAAAATGCTAATCCTAACAATAGGACCTGGCTTTCCTAAGCTGTATGGGTAGATGCTCTTTGCTCAGGAGCAGTGGAGACTTACTGCAAAATTACTGTGATTGTGGGTTACCAGCACAGAATTATTAAAGTCTGTAGCACTGTAAGCTGCAGTTACATACTGCAAAATCCTGCAGAGGAAGAGAAAGAAAGAGGAAGGCTGGGGAGGCGCGGGGCCAAGCAGGCAGGAGCGGGGACAGAGGCAAATATCAGTCCCAGGTTACCTCCCGTGTATGTTAAGAGCACGATTTCCCAGGTCGCCTTGCATCACCGTCAGAGTTACCTGCGTTCTCATTCACGACACGGCCCTTTGTATAGTGACGACAGTTGTTGTGTTTGCAGATAATTCCTGTTGTTTCTTGGGTGAGGAGCATATGGGCTGTGTCTTAACACAGTGCATTTCCAGGCTTTCGCAAGTTTGGGTTTTAACAAAACTCAGAATAAAATTGTTTGTGTCAGTGAAGTATTTTGCTATAAAATTTTTACTGCGTTGCTCAGGTAATTGTGAACGGTTGAGCCACCAAGACTATGGTCTGTACATTCCTTCAAATGTTAAATTTCTCACAATAACAACAAAATTTTTAATTGTTATTTGAAGCGATGAGAGGAAAGTAGTTTGCAAATCAATTTTTCTCTACTAATTCAATTTCAGTTTAAACTGCAACCCATTTTAGTTGTTCTGATTGGTGATCATGGTGATGAAATAACATTAATGCAGAGGAAAAACAGCAAAAGCAGGTCATCTTTAGTGTATTAACAAAAAACTCCTGTAATTCTGAACTTGCTTCAAATTAGTTGGACTGACTTGGATCCAATGCAGCAGATGAATCCCCCCATAATATCTTTCCTTTAGTTAAGTATATGGTTTTCACCTGGACCTACTCAACCTCCCTGTTGGGTTTTCCCCCTGTGTGATGCAGTTAGTGCCGATGAGAGCCGGCTTTGATCCGAGGCGGGTGCTGCATACTGGTTTGTTGGTAAACTTCGTTCAGGCTATTATTGGGCCCCCTAATGTAAACCAAAGGCTGCAATCAAGGGGGGGGAAAGGGAGTAAAGAAGGGGTGAATCTCGTGCCAGTGGGAATATCTCCACGTTCCCAGAGACCCTGCTGTAGTAATACTGGGCTTGCAGGTGCAAGAATATATGTGGGAGAATAATGGCAGGAGAGCAACAAGAAAGGAAAACCCTCGTTGCTTAGGTGAAAGAGTAAAGAGCTGTGAGAGGCTCTGCGGGCTACAGAACTGATTTGCAAAGGCCACGGCACTGGAGATGCTGTGTGACAATATAAAGGGGATTTCGGTACTTACTCCAGCTGTGCAAAGCTTCTGTCAGGGCATCCCCAACCCCGAGACTGGCGCGTGAGCTCCGTACCTGAGTACCCAAGTTGCAGGCATTGCTCCTGTCCTTCCAGGTGTCGTTGGTGGGGGTAGGATCTCCATGCTTACTTTTCCACAAGGTTTGCAGTATTTGCCCAAGGTGCAAGAAACTTGTTCTACACCTGGCTTTGGCTGAGAAGATTCAAATCCATAGCTCCTGAACTTAGGAGAGGTCCTCAGCCACCTGGCTTAGTCTTTGCTAAGGACCATCAAGGAGCATTCATCACTTCCTTCTGAGAAAGCTGTATCGCTTGTGGAAGAAATAAGGAACGTAGTCCTAATCGCAGCTAACTATTTTTTAGCCTAGTGACTCCTTGCTCCCAGCTTTACTGATGATTTTTACCGAACGAGTCTGTGAATAAAATAATCACTTCTTAGGATAACGTCTGGCATTGTAGCTGGTTACGGACTTGAGAGAAGGCTGGGAGGTTCTGCTTTTGGATTTTGATACCCACGTGTCATTTTAGTTTCTCATAGCCACATCTGGGCCTATATTGTTGTCGTCATTTTTATTTAACAGGAACGCTTCCTAGCGGAGATGGTTAGGGGGGAAGGCTCCTGCTTAAGGACGCTTGGCAATAAGATGAATCTGAATTGCTGATTTAATTTCAGAATTGACTTATAATGACAGGAGTTATGATTATATTTTATTGTGGCAGCGTATCAGCCAAGGCACCGGTATGTCAGCCACATATCACAAAAACACAGCAAAAGAAAAAATTCATTCTGAAAGTAGTTTTCAGCCTAAATTTAAGATTTATCTTTTTTTTGTGGGTTCTGTTTTACATTATAAAGATATGAAGTCTGAAGAGAAGGTATATTCAAAGGTCTGTATTTTTCCATTATCTTCACATATTCAGGGAGGCTTTTTTTTTCAGCAAGGAGAGGACAGGCACAGCTTGTCGTTCCTTATGCACCTATTCCTCTCAGTTTCTCCGTTTGTATGAGTCTGGATCTGAATACCCACTTGAATCAATGCAAATAAATGGCTTATCCTAGGGAGTACATGAGTCTTCAAACAAGCTAGTGGGGGGGGAGGAACATCTGTTGTCATTTAACATCGTTTTGAGGGCTTACGGATTTATTTGAAGTGTTTTCACTCATACCACTGGGATTTTCTAAAACTTGTGTTATTTCCTGTGGTCCAGAGGTTTTGTCTTTGCTATGAGAGAAAGACGGGAGACTCCCCACCCTCATCTCCCCCGTGTATGCTTCCTGTTACTAAACAAGGTCCATTTTAAGAATACAAACTTCTGGTTAATTTTCCTGAAAAGTGTTAGCTTATTTATAATGACTTTTTAATGGTACTTATGTGTACTTTTTACTTTCAGGGGACACCCCCCCCCCCCAATTAATATCGAAGAAATACTATAATGTATTTTTAAAGCCCGGTTTGGCTGCGTATTTGGGAGAAATAAACTGGGTGAGAAACTACCTTATTAAGCTAAGCCCATATTCCGTAGATTTAATTTGGAGTGTTCCTCCAGTGTGTAAGTGTTGCAAATAGCTTTACATCTCATTAAGGGAAGCTGTTAAAACGACCAAAAGTTCAGGAGGCTGAAGACTTTCCTGCTCCGCAGTAAGCATTTTGAGGGTGGCATGAGATGTGTCTTGTAGGCTGGTCAGGCAGGCCAGGATGAGTTTACATGTTGTTTTATCTGCTGAATCAGGAAGTTTCTACATGTCTCTTTTTAGAGGAGGAATTTCCATATAAACAGGCCTTTGTCTGTGCTACCTTGAGGCCTCTAATTAATTACATTTCAGATGGAGTTGGGGAGGTTTGGGTTCACACTCCCCACTTCCTCCTGCAGGATA